GCTGGCGCGCGCTTCTAACTGAAACCGAAATGATTCGATATTTTCCCACTGCACCGACTTGAAGTTGAATAATTGTTGCTGGGGTTACCCTGCACTGAGGAAAAGTATTTGTGTTTTCCCTTTAGAGATTAGCACTGAGGAAAAGTATTTATAGCCATACTTTTTTCCCAAAGCCCTGTACAAAAACCAGCATTTCTGTATACACTTTCTTTCATATCAAACATTTTTACAACTGCAAGATGAGATAAGTATTTTTTGTAGTGTGTCGTGGCACACGTAACCCACTGGTCAACTGCCTGTCGGGTCTTGGGATCTCGACCGTTGGCAGTGGGTCGCACTTTGGGTAACCCCCGAGCGAAGGGCGTTACCCAGTTCAATCCCAAAGGGGGCTGGACTGGCTATTATGGGCCATTTGAAGGATCATTAGGCATGCATGGGAAAGATCGTCAATCAAAGTGTGTTTTTGGGAAACGGGAACAGTTCCCAGTGCCCGAGATAATCTTGGCGGAATATCGCTGGACTAACGAGTTCTTTGACTTTGCAGCCCCTGATAGTGGGAAAGGATTGTGGGACCAGACTTTGGGTGGTAGATAAGGCTCGCCTAGGGAAGCCCTTATCTTCACTTTTCTGTTTATGCGTTGATAAGAATAGTCCCTAATCACTTCGGTTAGTGGCTTGAAGGGGTTCATTAATACATCTTTTACATAAATATGAAAGGAAGGGTAAATAAATATAAGTCACAACTTTATCCACTGATCATTTTTACAAAGCTAATCATTGCTCGGCAGGCCTGCATTAGTTTAGAGTCTAATTTTGTTCGAAATTAGACATAGACAATTACGCTTATTCTCGGCATGAATCATCGTCGAAGTGATTCAGCAGGGCGATCCAACTGCATCCCTCGCTTGCCTAGCACCCCGACCCCAGCCCCGCCTCGACTTATTATACCCTGGACTGTAACCAGATAATTTGCATTGCTTTGCGAAACACGGGAAGGCGGGAGTGCGAGTATCTGGCTTACTCGCTTGGCTAAGCCCTCTCTCTAAGGGGAACTGCCCGGAGTTCTGTTCTGGGGCCCTCGATCCAACAGGTTTGATCCGATCTGGCCGCCTGCCAGGCCATTTACCACTTGGCTTGGATTTTTTCCCGCTATTCAAAGTGCCACACAGCTGAAATAAATTAATTGCTTAATTGTTGTTGCTGCCTTAGCGGCATTATTTGAGATGAAATTTGCTTTTAATTAAGAAACTCTCCAGAGAGCGAGGGCGAGTCTGTTTTTCGCCTTTGAACACGTACAGAAAAACTGCGTTTCTCTTTGACTTTTTGATTATTTAGAACTTGTAAAGATCTTATGGCTTTCAGTTACTGTTTTTGTAATTTTTGCTGAATTTAGGTTAGTTCTAGAAGTATTTTCCTGTGTACTCTTTAGGCCTTTCAACAACCTTCAAAGAGGCCTGTGCGTGGGGGTTTTCCTCTGCTCATGTGTGCGTCTCCGTGGCCGTGTGTGTGTTTTGTTTTTAATAGACCAAAGTCGTGCACTTCGTTAGCCAAAAGCTGAGCGAGTGAAACGCGTTCTGCGTGGGATTCTCTAATGCGATGATGGTGGCTGCTATTTGGGTTTTGGCCGATTCTAAAACTGGTTTTCCACTTGGCCAACTTGCCCATCAAGGAGTCGCCACGAAACGAAATCGAATGGCTGTTGAATAATACGGACAAAAGCCAAAAACAAAAACATAAACCACGCCAACAAAGACTTAAACTGCGCATAACATTTGAATAATTAAGCACCGCCTTTCTAGCCTGTTTAGTCGCAGTCACTAGCATTAGTATGAATATACGAGCATCCGGATTACCAGGCTAGGGATTCTTCCCAGATTCTCCACAGAAATTCCTAAGCTCTCTTGACCCAAATTCCTCCCCAGTCTTCCCAGGGAAATCTCCAGAGCAATGAAGGAAACCTTTTCTTCTGCCCACTCTGCCGGTTTTTATTTCATAATCGAAACGAAAGCTGAGCTGGCGATGTTTCGAAATCCATTACTCGGATTTCCAGCTTGTCTTTTTCCTTGGGATCCTCACTTCGCAGATACAAATGTATCTGAGTTGGCTTGCCCTTTTTTCCAGCCCTAACGGGACCCGGACCCAGACGGAACCACTTACTGAGCGGGACGGCACGAGCATTCCATCTCTGTCTGCATCTAAGTATCTATGCATCTGTAGCTGTGGCTGTCTTGATTTTCTCATTTTCTCACACTCCAGAGCCGCCAACGAGGAACGCCAGCGGGTTTGGGGCCACAACGAAAAGCTGAATCGGAAAAGGGTGCTACATGGTGCAAAAAGCTGAAGAAATGGAAAATGTAGGATGGTAGATAAAGGTTTTCTCCATTCATGTTGGCCCTCTTTGCTGGCCTTTGATTTCAGTTTTTGATTTTTCACTATGCCTGTTTTATGTGAAACTGATATTGAATCTTAAATATATATGTTAAATTATGTAAAATTAATGAGAATAACAACTCTGCTCACTTATCTACCTCTAATCCACTCGAATCGCGGGATCGGGCGAGAACAGAACTGAGGGAAACCGAAGACACCAGCAGCAACAATCATAATTACGAGGTTAACCTTAAGAGTTGACACAAATCCGGGCCAGAGCCAAAAGCGAGGTACGGCGGCCTCTGTCGCTCGTTCCCAGCAATTAACTTCGAATGACACCAAATGCCACCGAGGCACGCCACCAGTCCACCAACTCGCCAAGTCGCCATCAACTTCCACCATCTGAATCCAGGGGAGCCGCTCCATGCCGCCCACCATCATCGGACGGCAATTGCAAGTGAACGGCAACTTTGAAGCCGCCCACAAAGCGACAAAGTTGCCATACCCTCGCCAAAGGGTATCATTATTCGGCTCTACAAGGGGGTGATTACATGTTCCATTACATGGGATGTCATCATTAAATTTTTCCGAACTTGCGCCCTGAGTGCGACCGCTGTTTCAGTAGGGATAAGGGCTAAGAAGAACAATGTGCCTTAGAGGAATATATAACATTATTAAGATATTGCAAAAGTGTAGGGTATTCAATGTGTCGATCTTAGTATTCGGCTTCTGTTGCCTCTCTTGATGTTGATGTTGTTGATGATGCTGTTGATGCCTGTTGATGATCTTAGCTGGCTTTGGGCATGGGCAGTTTTGCGGTTTATTTGATCAGTGTTCGACTGGCATTCCGCCGATTTGTATGTAGGATTAGTTGGCGAGGAGGCAGAGAGAGGAACAGCCAGGGAGAGGGAGATGGGCGATGGGAAGTCTTACAATAGTGTAACGATCGAGAGATGTATCTCGCGGATACACAGAGGTTCCCTTGTGAAGTGCAATTGAAACGCTGTGTGAATTTTTCAAGCGCCAAGCCGACTGAGTGTGTGTGCCTGTTTCTGTTTAGAAGTGTGCGACTGCCTGTGACTTTATAACTCCATCAGATGGAATCTATATAAGAGAGAGAAAATCTTAACAGTTCAGATATGGAAAACCTACTTAACGAAAAGTATGAGTTTGCCTTCTCCTTCAACCCTAACTTCATGCCTTAAGTCGCATGGAATTTTGTGCTTTGACCAATTTCGTTGGCGTTTTTCTTAGTGTACGAGCCTTGCTTGGCCACCACTCAACTACTCTACCACTCCCTACATCGCAGCCTCCCCCTGAGAAGCCCACGATCAGCGTGGCTCATTCAATTCAAATGGCTCGTGATTTCGTAAGCCCGCATTTGTTGTTGCCCCGCTGGGAGCTGATGTTGCTGCTGGGTTGTTGCTGTCGCTGCTGCGGCGGATTCGAGCTTCAAGCTTCAAGCTTCGAGATTCGAGGCCATCGAGCGACGACTGCAAGTGCGACTTTGGTTGCAGTTAGACGCCAAGAGACTTGCAGCATTTTTCTCCGTCTCTGTCTCCGTCTGCGTTTTGTTTCTTTTTGTGTGGCGTGATGACCTTGAGCCGCTCATTTTAGCCAAGTGGCTCTGTGTGTTGGCCAAGTGGCTGACTTGCGAGTATGTGAGTGAGTATGAGTCGGTTACCTAGTTCCAGTTACTTTTGGCATCTCTCGCCCGACCATTTTATCTTTCTTCGCAGCGCTGGCCATTGAAAGCCGCGGCAATTACAAGAAACCAGATTTGAATGCGACCAGGGGTTGAGGCTCAGAACACCCTTACTTACTGCCTCATCTAGCCAGTCTAGTTCTAGGTTAAGTTGGCTAATATTGAATATGGGATAATACTACTTTCATTCTAAGTTTAAGATTTAAAGGTCAATTTATGAAAGGGAGTTAGATACTTTTGATTGAAAGTACTTATAGGAACTAAGAGTTATATATTTTATGCATTTCTTCTTTAAAGAATTGCATTTCATGCAAGGCGTACCTTAAATACAATAAATACAACGACCATTTGTACTTGTAGGCACGTCTCGACTTTTCTTTCATAAATGGGATAGTGATTCTATTAAATGACTAGTTTTTAGAAAAGAAAATGTTTGAGCAGAATTCGTTGCTAATTTTAGGTCTTTGTTTCATTGTCAATGTAAGTTGAGCCACAATGGAACCGTTATGTGGAGAGAAACAGCGGACAGGATTCGAGAGGTATAAAGTCAAGGCTGTGAATGTGCTCTCTCACTCATAGAGACAGATTGAAGCGAAACTGGGTCTACGATAGGTGAGTGATAGGTGACTTACGGCAACCGGTATACGGACACCCCATTTACAAAGGGTATGGGCCAGAAATACAAGGCGGTTCGATACCGCGATGATCAGGAACCCCTTTACAAGTACGAGCCCAATCCCAAAAGCATGAGCACCGGAACAAGATCCACTATTTACACCTGTCTTCTGGACTCAAAGGATAACTTTTAGGGTCTACATGTTCCACTTAAAGATCATTAAAGGTTTTGCCCAATCAACTATTCCCTTTCTAGTTGTCATTATTTCGGCGGAGTTATCAAAATTATCGTTTTTTTTTTTTGGTGGAAATGAAAATAAATTATGGAGTATTTTTGGTCTTAGGATGCCTCTTGATTGTAAGATAACTTGCATGTTGAAAGATATATCTTGTACTGGACAACCCCCCAAATTCCTAGGTTTTGAGCTTGGCTGTTGCTCATGCGGTTCCTGTGCCCGCTCCCCAGCAAATGTCCTTGGAAGTCCCATCAGATTTGCTGTCGAGCGGGTATGATGAACCGCCGGAGATGGAGGGCCTTCTCCCAAAGCCAAAAACAGAGGAAGAGGAAATATTCGACGACAATGAGATTGGTGAAGTCGTTTTGGAGGGATTTGATGAGGGCAGTGGAGAGGACTGTGATAAACTGCCCTACGGACCGACCACGCAGGCAGGAGAAGGCCGCCTGACTCCTGGCTTAGTTTTTGGCGTCCCAATAAGTCTATTGCTTATCCAGCTGCTATCATAACTAAGTGGGTCTAAATAGTATCTTAAAGATTGCTTTTGCTTGACACTAAATCAAGGAAAAGTGTGACTCTTTCCCCATAAGAAAGAGGCGGAGGAGAAAATGCATATTCTGGGGGAACGACATTCTCGGCGCATTGTCATATTCCATCAAAGTTTTCTGCTGTCGCAGTTGGTTTTTGCGTTTTGTGCGTTTCGCGAAGTTGCCAGAACCACAAGCGATGACCTAATTACCTGGGGCTTGGGCACTTGGGCACACATCCACGACACGGGGGTCTTCTTGGGGGCCTGTTCTTGAGTTGGCCGCTTCACGTTTACTGAGTTAGCAAGAAATGCCTCGAATGTTGCAACAGCAGCTCTTCCAGCACTCGTGAGACATACATTTTGGCCATCCAAAATCGAGCGAAGCGAATTTCGCAAATAATTGGAGCAGTTTGCAACGCTCACGTTTTGGGCAAGGTAACACTTGGCCAAGGTAAAGACAGCTCCGATAGTGACATATGTGGAAAAAACACATTGCCACGCCGAACCGATGGGGAAACTCCGAAATCAATACCCAATATCGCTTCCTTATCGGCGGAGAAGGAGGGAGGATGAGAGTGAGTCCTGAAAGCTGATTAGCCACATCGATAAGGCAAATCAACACTCGATAAGCGTCCTGGGACCTGGCCCATACCCGTTCTTATCGCTGACAGGAGGCCATCCGTGTAGGGCTATCCGTGTGTCTGCCTCTGCACTGAGACAAAATGGGTTTGCCTTTATAGAGTCGATTCCTTTGCTACTCAGAATATGTATCCATATTCGTAAGCTGCCTTTTTGCAGATAGGAAAGGCATTTCGGGAAAACTTATTTTCAAGATAATCTTTCCTAACAACACAACGATTTCCCCCGGTGTACAAGGTACAACATTCATTTTCTGAAACCACACATCCTGGCCCGACTCGATTCGCTGATAGGCGATGATAAAATCATAAAGAGATAAATAAATATTGGGCATATCGTTCAATATTAGGTCCTATAAAGGAACGCCTGAAATGTGGCCCACTATCAGTGCGTTTTTCTGGGGGCGTTGACCAGGCCCGTGGTCTCGAGGTCTTATCAGTGGCACTGGGGAGGCGGAAACGGAGAGCCGCAAGTCTGGGACACTGTCCGGCGATGACTTTAAAATCCTCCCGGACTGTCGAGGGGCGGAAGACCCGCAGAGGCTTATCACAAGACCGGGCGACGAGCGTAAATAAAACAATGTACGAGTACAAGGCAGAAGGAAAAGGCGGCGAGGAGGCGAAGGGCAGGAGAAGGCACAGTTTTTCCTCGGCCATGGAAAAGGAAGGAGAAAAACGTGCGATAGGCCAAGGGGCAAATGAGCTGGAGGAAAACGTAGAAGAAAAACAAACCTTTGGCGCTGGCAAAGTGCATTCGCCTCGCCACGAAATGGAAGCAAATGCCAGGAGCCGAGGCCACTCAGAGAAAATATATCTGGAAAATCGGAACATAAAACTAAAACTTCTGTCATTAAGCCTATCTATTATAATATATTTGATGATATGATATTTTATTTTACATTTACTTTTCTAGGTAACAGAAACTTCAACAGGACCATAGGCTTTTCTGTGAGTGTAAGGTGTTGTGGGGCTAGGAAAAGGGAATAGTGGCAAGCTAGAGAGAAGGAAGAAAGAAGGTGGGCAAGTGATAAAGCAAGGAAAAGACAGAAGAGCGCCGCGTAGAATCCATTAGCAGTCGCTTGGAACGGAATGGAGGGAACTCCCGATGGGCGGGGAAATGGGGAAATAGGAAAATGGGGAAAGGCGGCGAGAGGGACGCGTAGCAGGCGGCAAAAAGTGCATGTGAATGGGAATGGAAATGGGTGCATGTGGAGTCCGCCAAGTGGCAACCAAATGCATCCCGACTACTCCTCTTGCTCTGTCTCTGCCTCTTCGTTCTCCTCGCATTTTCTTTTGGTGGAAAGGGTTCAATGCTCGATTTCTTCTTCTTATTCTAGCTGCAGTGGTTGCCATGGGAAAGCCGCGAGTCGGGAAAAACTGTTCGGCAACTGACGCTGAGCAGGATCAACCCCCAATTACGTTCAATTAAAAACTCGAACAAGCTGTTGGGTAATTTGTGAATTCTGCGGGTAGAGTATCCTTTTGATTGCCTTAATTGAGGTCGACACAAATTCAATTCAAGAACTTTCGCCACCGAAAAGAAGTAATCACGGGCTAACACGCGTCCGGCGGCATGTCGTGGCCCGGAAATTATGCAGGATCGACGGACGAAATGTACTCGGAAGTCGGCTGCTGATGATGAGGGCTTGATCAATAGTCCTGGGAACGCAGGGAAGCCAGAAAAAGAATTCTAAGGGGTATATGTAAATACAGAAAATGTAGTCAAAAAGTATATCAACTCGGATCCTGCTCCTTTTAAGTCTTCTATGAGTTTAGAATCACAAGAAAGATACGTTTTTATCGGTTCTTATCGGTTATTTTCCCTTATTGCTGGAATGTTTTTAAATAAAGGTAAATACTTTTCCAGTGATTTAACTCAACCCCTTTTGTAAATGGTTTCGAATACCCCTTGACTGCCTTTCAAACGAATTCACCACCGCGATTGACTCGGAAAATCGATCCTCAATTTGTTTATCTAATAATAAACAGTCATCGAGTTGAGACGATCCTCGACCAAAGTTCAATGATCCCGGGCAAGAGAAAAACCTCAAGGAAAATGGAAACGAACAAAGAGAACGCCAAACAATGACGAGATAGACAAAGGAAAAGAGAAGAGGAAAAGGTCTGAAGATAGGCAGCAGAATGCTGAAGAGGAAAAGGCAGAAGGGCTGAAAGTCAATGAGCAGCAAAGACAATGGGCCTGATGAGGCAAAAAAGGACGCTCGCCACTCACGTGGGCCGAATGCTGATCCTCGAGATGTGCGTGCTGAGATACGCGTGTGTTCCAGGAATAGCAAACAGGCCACGTCCATGTCCACGCCCACGCCTCCGCCCTTCTCGAGGAACCCGATCCCGCAGGAATCCCAATCCCGACTCTAGTTGGTGTTGAGTAATTTGTGCGCTGCTGCGATAAAAATCTGTTAAGCGGTTACCAAACATAAACAGACTCCAGGGGTTGAAAAGATTAGTTTGTCACTCGGAAAAACCAGAGATGCTTTCTGAAGTTATTGTTGATTTCTACAGAAGATTGGCAGATGAGGATATGTTATGGAAATGATATTCAGTTTATTTTCCAAAACCACTTTGAATAATCATTCGATTCAAGCACTAATGTCAGAAACTAAGGGAAACCCATCTACCCTTGCTAATAGATTTCTTCGTGGAATTCTTGATTTTTTCAAGTGTGGGCTTTACTTAACCCCTAGTGCGCGGGGGTGTGCGATCGGTAGCTCCTTCTGGACGAATGCAGGCGGTCTATTTTCGGTTGCAGATTCGGGAAATCGGGGCACTTAAGGCTTTATGTGGGTCCTTCCCGGGGGTTGCGATAGCTTGGCGACCTTTGCCTGTTTTGGGGGTAAGTTCCTCGCGGCTATTTGTGTACTCCTGCATGGCAGTGCAGGGGTTTGTCAATCTTCATTATCCATAACTGCATAAGCCCGCAGATCGCAGGCAGCTCCTTCTGCCAGGACTATTGCTGGCCATTGAAAGTTCCCACATGGCCGTCAATGGAACTTCGTGAGTGCCTAATGAAGCGTCAAAGATTAATTGACTTTTCGGGACTCGAGAAGGAAGAGGAGATTTTCTTCCTCGTTTTCAATTAATTTACCATTAGGATGCCAATCAGACCTGCCAGATCTGGCCTGAAAATAGAAATAGAACTCCCATATTTTCCGCCTCTATTTTTATGCAAATCAGCCAGGTAAGGAGAGCGCTCTGAGGAGCGAATTCCTGTTCCTTTGTCTATCCACAAATTGCCGACAGATACATGCACATACTCGTACAGCGCAGCCAGGCAAATTGCATTTTTATCTATTTTCTATTTTTACTTGGAAAATGCCAGCATCGAGGCAACTGCAGCTGAGCGCGCGGAGGATTATAAGGCCCATCATCGGCGTCGCCGCTTCCTTCCTGCCTTGCTGCTGCCGCCGCCCAAATAGCTGTAATAATAAAGCCGATCTCTCCCCAGTCTTTGCTTTCTGTAGGATGCGACAAGAAAAGCAGGAAAAACTCCTTGGCCGCTCACACAGATACACACTGCAGTCGGGCGCCCAGTTGTCGTTGTCCTATTCCGAAGAGCGGAGACCGTTCTCCCCAGACATCCCAAGATAGAGTTGCCGCGCTGGAGGTTTTCCCGCCAGATCTGCCTCTAAAGGAGCTAAGGCCATAGGCTTGCGTTTCCCTGAGAGAACAATATTTTATACATTTTAGTAGTATTACTAACTATCTTATATATACTCGTATTGGTATATATAGATACATTAACACAAACCAGTATATAAATTTATCTCTGAAGTTTAAAGTAAGAACTAGATTTTTTAGCTCTAATAGTCCTTTTGGAAAATAGGCTGCTGGCATCTCCGCTGCCTGCTCCGCTGCCTGCTCCGCTGCTTGAGGAGCTGCCTGGCCGAGTTCAATGAACCCCCGTCACCTCTTGGCGCAGCGCATTGCCTATGCCTCCGCCTCGTCCGAAGTCGGCGACGACTGCAACTGCGGCGCAGGCAGAGCCACACAATCCTTTTTCTTTGGGCTTTTCTCGTTGCACCCTTCACTTGATCTCTGCTGATCTCTGCCTGCCTCTCCGCCCAGCTGGGTGCGGAATGTGGTCGTGGCTGCCCCATGTTGCCGATGCTGCCTCTGCCCAAAGGAGCCGCGCAGGAGTTCTCAAGGGTTCCAGTGCGATTCGAATCGGTTTTTGTTTGGGGGCTTTGGATTTCACTTCGTGTGGGGAAATGTAAACACCGCCGTCATCATAATCGCTGTCAGCCTCTCCAAGGCAGGCTGCCTGCCTTAGCGGTGGTGGTGGTGGTGGCAGTGGCGTTGGGGCAGGGGTATGTATCCCTTT